CAGAATTTCTTACACGGATTACAGTTCTACAAACACAAAAGATTCTGCCATGAATATTACAAAAATAAGCTGTAACAACAAATACCTTTATACAGGTACCAAAGGTATTAACTGGGGGAGGTTCTACCATTTTTGACTTATTAACTTTCAATCAATTTAATTATAGCTCCTACATTTTACAAAGCTACACTTACATTTTCGAACAACATTCAGCCAGTTGTCTTTACAACAAAAAAGTGAACCGGTTATGACTAAATCAGGCCCAAGTATCAGCGTGCTACAGCACTAATTCTTCCCATTTCACTTCAGAGCAAAAATCGCTAAGAGTGACTTTTTAAACACCGACTTGAAAGGGAGAGATCAGGTTAATTCAGCTTTATGTTCAGTAGTAATACTCCAGATTTTTTTTCTGTTTTGTTTTCTAAACCATGAGAGAAAAAGAGTTTGTTTGGGACTTTAATACAGTTTGGGGAAATAAATACCAGAGATTTTTTCAATTAGGTTTGTTTTGTTAAGTTCAGCTAGATCACAGAAAGGCAGTAACACCTTTGCAGTTGTTCCAAATTAATCACCACTGATTTTAAAGTAAGGAAATGCACAGCAATTACAAAAAAAAAAAAAAAAAAAAAAGGAAAACCCAGACTTTTTTTTCCCCTAAAAAGAATGCAAAAAGAAAACAACCCAGAAAACTACAGTAGCATGAAAGCCAATTAATACTCTTCAGTCATATTAGGACTTCAATTAAAAATTTTAGCTATTTTTTTAAAAGGTGTTTTTTCTTCTTTTTTTCACTGTATGTCTGTAATTGCAAATCTAAGAGAATACTCTATCAATAACAGTAATTCAGTGTAACTCAGAGAACATGGTAAATTATTAGATTATGTCTTTTGCATATTAGAAATATGCAAATTTCCATAATACTACTGCATCTCACCTATATTCTAGTACCTACCTTTAATTAATACTGACAGAAACATACAGTAAGACAAAGTTGATATCCTCCTGCTCCCATCTACTCATCTTTGGTTTGCTACATACAATACGCAGGATTTAACACAACTTTAGTTGCTTTGAATATATTTTATAAAGCTGAAACTGGGTCCAAACTAACCTAACACCACCAAAAAAAAAAAAAAAAAAATCACTTCTCATTTCCATTGAATAGTATAAATGTTCAACTTTTAAAATTAGTAATGTCCCTCGGACTGTTGAAGACTACTTCCTTCTCCCAGTCTATTAACGTATGATGTGCAAAGGACCACTTTCAGAACAGAATAAATGAAATTTTCCACTGTGTTAACAGCCTGGGGAAGGAGAAGGTACAGCGGGACAGTGTTCCTTTCACTTACAAAACTACAAATAATTCATCTTCCTTCATCCTTACTGTATAAATCCATGCTTCAGGTCATTTCCCAACTATTAAATCCAGCTGGATTCAGTGAGAACTTCAGAATGTCTTTCCTATCTTAAAAACAACTCCAACACACAAATAAGCAAATACACTCCCCATATAGAGCCTCATCCTCCAGATCTTTTCATATATGTGTAACTCCACTAAATGTAGCTCCACTGAAGCAGAAAGAATTACTGATTGCAGCAAAACTAAGCAGAATTGCAAGAGTATATAGGATGAGTATCTTTGGACAGGTTAACAGGAAATGAGAGGACACCTTTGTGTCCTCAGAAGTAGCACAGAATAGCAGCGTACCGGCCTTCCACATGCATTTAATTCTGAGACTACTATACTTTCAAGTATCATTAGATATAAGGAAAATCAGTGGTCTACAGAGCCTCTGTATTAATCCAAAGAAGGAAAAACAAATAGGAATTGTAAGAACAACTTAGGTTCTATAATATTCAGTAAAAATGCAGGAAGCTGACTAGACTGTGAACATTCTTCTCTAAGCTCCTACCAAGAAAGGCCTTAGTAAGTGTTACTTTTGATTATAATTTTCTGATTGTTAGAGTTCTACACAGCAGCTAAATATGAAGCTTTTTTTTCTCATTTCTTATGGGGTTTAGTCTATGAAGCATATAACTACACAGTATAGCACACAATACACAAAGTTAGTTAAAAAAGGTCTCTTAAGCAGCTAATATTTACTGTTAATGAAAAATCCAGAATACCATTTGATGTTATCAAATGTTGCAGTATGTCTAAAGCAACTGAGACATACCAGTTAAAAAAAAAAGTTTATTTAATCTTTGTGTTATAAGAAAAAGCGCCATACCTATAAGAATAAGAAAAGTAATAGGTGTTACAATGCCTAAACAATTGCTTCCAATGAAACTACCACTTTGGTTCCACTGCAGTCTTCCAAGCACAGTACAAGGCACATTCTTTGTAACACTCTCGTTACCTGAGTGATAATGGCTAAATTTTAATGTTTATGAGAAACTAGTAACTGCTTAAATAAAAGTTAATTAAAGATAACTCACCACCATCCCTCTCTCTAACTCTGTGAGTATGCACACTTTTTGCTTTACTGTGCCCTGTGTTGTCACCATATTTGTTTTCAGGGCTATCAGAGCGCCGCAACATTTTATTTGGTGGTGAAGGATCTGTGGTGTCTCGCATTTTCTCATGACGGTGATCACCACCACCAGGGTGACTCTTGGATGAGTACTTAAGAGCCTGTAACAGATCAGAAGAGAACCGGCACTACATTAGATATGAAGTTACAGAACTGATGTTAAAATGTTATTTCTAAATTATAGATCTCTTTCCAAACCATTTTTTAAAGGTAATTAATTTTCATTTCCTATTAAAAAAAAAAACAGCTTTAGTTTAATTTTAATTACTTACAGCAACAAGTTTTGTAATTAGAACTCAAACCATTTTCTCCCCCCATTACATCCAACATAACACTTGCTGTTAAGAAAAATCCTAATTTCTCTATCTTTACACTGATGGACTATATACTTTCAGCAGTAAATGGGCCATAGCACTTCTGCACTTTTGGGAGAAACACAAGTCTCCACTTGGTATTAAGAATATAAACAGAAAGTTACACTGAGTCAGTGTAAACTTTGAGTATGGCCTCCCTTACTGTAGTCAGGGCCCTTCAGTTTCACCACTACCTTGAACTCCTCCAACATTTTTTCAGTACTAACAACCCTGTAGCAGATGTATTAAAAATTTAAAAAAAAAAGGAAAAAAAAAAACCTACAACAACTAGAATTCTGGGGCCCAAAACATGTAATATGACAATTCGTTTTGACGCTTTTACCAAAAATCACATTCTGCCTCACTTTGACCTGCTTGATTTTGCAGTGTGAGCTTCTGAGCAGCAAGTGTTTACATTTACACGAACTGTCACCAACAGCTGCCTTGGACTGTCAGATTACACTTCAGAGTAATACAAATACACTGAAATGTAATAAAATAGTTCAGTTCTGTGCCCTAAGGAGAGCAATACCACAATATACGGCATTCTCCAGATTCACACCCTGAGAACTGTTTTTTTTAGTAGACACAGCAGAGAAATACAGTATCTACCTAACAGAAATTGAGCTTATCGCCAGCAGCCTAAGGATTTGATGGTTTCTGAACATGCCTAGCAGCTGGCAACTACAGAAATTAAGCCTTACTGGCAACCCCAGTTATTCAGGGTCTAAAACCATGCCCTGCTCATGTTACAGTCCACAGCAGCAGTTTTGGGGAGAAGAAAGGACTTGGGGAGGGGGGTGGGGGAAGAACAAGATGCCTTTTGTTTTTAAAAAGAAAACACTCACCTCCCCCTGGATCTCCACTCCAGTGCAAGTGACCCCGGCTCTCTCTCCCACCCCCCGCAGGGTACCCTCCCCGACTCCTAGGCCCAAGCCCTACACGGGCTGCGCTAGGCCTCTCCTCCCCGCCCCGGCCCCGCGGGCCTCCGAGAAGCGCCGGAGCCCTGTTCCCACCGCGAGCGTCCCTCTCCGCACCCCCCTCCACTCCCCCCGGGCCCGAAACGGCGCCGAGGGCCGGAACCGCGGCGGCTGTTGCACCGCGGCCTGCGGCGGCGGCCGAAGCCTCCGCTGGAGTAGCTCCCCCCCCCTTCTCCCCTGCTCCTCCTCCCGGGCCTAGCGGCCGGCGCCTGAGGTACCTGGTAGGGCTGCGAGTCCCCCCTGCGGTCGTGACAGCTAAAGAGAAAGCGAGAGAAAGAGAGAGATGTTAGCGAACAACCGTTACCGGCCGCCGGGGAAGGGGGCCCAAACATGGCGGAGGGGAGGGGGAGACCCCGCGGGGCCAGGGGCCAGAGGAGGAGGAGGAGGAAGGGATTTACCCATCACTGAGTCTCTGCTGTTTCCTCGCATACATTACCATCAATGCCCGGCCTGTGTGTGTGAGTGTGAGGGGACCAGGAGGGGACGGCCGCGGCCGGGCCACAGGCGCCGAGGGGGGAGGAGGGGGAGGCAGCGCTCCGCCTCGCCGCCGACCGGGGGCAGGGAGGGGGGAAGGGAGGGAGGGGGCGGCTCGGGCAGCTCGGCTGGGAGCGGCGCTCACGGGCCCATCTCCTCCGCGCACAGCGAGGGGGGAGACGCCAGCAACTCGGCCCCGCGCGCTGAGACACTCCGGGAGCACGGACTCCACCGCCGCCGCCGCCGCCTCCCCCCGCTGCGCCCGCCGCCGCCGCCGCTCCTCCAACTACATCCGGGAAACTCGGGCGACGCCGCGCTCGGTTAACGTCGGCTCTTTTCGGCTCTTTCCGACACGCTCCGTCCCCTCTGTCCCCTTTGCTCTCGGGCGACTCTGCCTTCGGGAAACATCGGCTGCCTTCGCCGAGCCCAACGCCCTTCAATCTCTCCCTTCGGCAAACATCGGCTCGTTCCGTAACTCTCCACCCCCCACCGGCCGGCCCGGCTCGTCATATTCTCCCGAACGCTACCTGTCTTCGGAAAACATCGGTTATTTCCGTAGAGATGTTTCCACGCTCCCGTCGGGGCGGCGCCGCGTTCGTAAACGCTCGGGTATTTCCGTGACCCCTCACCCGGCGGCTCAGAGGTACTGCCGGCCGGATCAGCCGTTGGCTCGGGGGAGCCCGCGCCGCCCGGGGGGGCCGCTTCGCTTCGCTTCCCCGCCGGGCCGCGGCGGGGCCGCCGGCTTTCTCGGTGGGAGCCAACAGGGCGGGAACGCCAGGCAGGTGGGGGCAATAGGGGGAATTGCGAGAGAAGCGGCGGGGCGGGGGGAGCAGCGCCCGGCCGCCAGATAGGAAAGGGAAGGTCTCGTTTTACCTACCCCCTCCTCCCCTTCCGCCCAGGGACTTGATGTATAGGCAGAAGCCATTTTGTGCACGGCTCGTCTTCTGCGAGGAAGTGCTCTGCGGTGAAGAGGTTATTAAAATGTCCCTGGGGAGGCGGCGGCACGGGTCAGGCCCTGCTGCCGCGCTGGTTTCTCCCGACCCGCGGTGGCGGGGCCCCGCTCCCGGCCCCTGAAGGAATGCGGCCCGGCTGCCGCAGCCCCGGCCGCCGGGGGAGCGAGGCGCTGGCGGCGGAGCGGCCTGGGCGCGGTGAAGCTGCCGCCGTGGCGGCGGGGGGCGGCGGGTGAGGGGCGCCACCGGCGAGCGAGCGGCTCGTCCCTGGCTCGGCACACACGTAAAATGGCCACCCCGGCGCCCGTCAGTAGCCAGCAGCGCCAGATCGGTTGGCTGCGGGTGGCCCCGGCCTCTCGGAGCGAAGCGGATGCCTGGCGCTCGGTGTGCGAGGAAGAGGCCGAGTGGGTGCCGGTGGCGACGGCTGAGCCTTATTCTGGGAAAGGGTCGCTGGGTTATTTCTGACCAAATCCTCGGAAGTCTGAGATACAAGGCATCACCTATTCAGAATGGTATTAAGATACTATATAACAGAAGTGTTTTGATATTGGAATTGAGCATTGCCATGAGGATCTCCTAGGAGAGACCAGTTTGCAGTAAAGATACAGTATAGATGCCAGATTTTGTCCTACCCCCTTCCTGAAAATGGGAGAGATGTGGCACAACTCAGAACTATCGTGTTAACCTTAAACAGAGCGGCTTTCCCCGTGGCTCTCTCTCTGTGCTGGCATAGTGTTATTCCTGGTTAGTCCCTTACAGAGTTTTTCTTGTTTTTTAGTGTGGGTTTTGTTTTGTTTTGTTTTTTTTTTTAGAGTGCAGAAGGCTGTTGCTGAGAGGGGACTTCAGGGAGCAGTGGCAGAGCTGAGGGAGGGGAGCAGAGGATGACTCAGCAGGGAGCTGTTCTTCAGGGTTACAATAATGAACTAGTGAAATGCATTGAAGATTTGTGTATGCAAAAAGAAGAGTTGAACAAACAAATCCAACAAGCAGAAGAGGAAAAAAGTAAACTCCAGCATGAAATCCAAACCCTGAGTGAACAACTGAATTGTGTATGTGAAAACCTGGCCCAAAAGGTAGCTTCACGGAATGAGCTTGATAAAATTCTTGCTGAAACTGAAGCTGCTTACATGAAGATTTTGGATAGTTCTAGAACTTTACTTAATGTCCTGAAGAAGGAAGTGGGAAGCATAAAGCATACGCAAGAACTGAAAACCAATGTAACGTAAAACGGTCAAATGTTTGGACTCCACAGTGCTAAAATTCTACTAGGTGAGAAACGTGGTTAGCCACAGAACCTTGCAACAACAGTATAAGCAGAAAGGAATTTTCTTTCAGCCTTTCTGTATGTTTTATTATTATTTTTAAATGCACTAGAAAATAGATTAAATAAAGCTGGTGTTTTGCTATTAAAAAAAAAATCTAATTACTTAAATACTACAAAGCTGTATGGCAAATAGGTAGTTGAGGCAGATGTGAGACTTGTCAGTTTTGACATGGTGATACTTCAAGGCTATTCTGAAGACGGAGGAAAAAAAAACATGTTTTATTGGTTGGCTTCAGATGGCTACCAGTGAATTCCTGTTTGATTGAAAACTAGTGGATGCAAACAGATAGTACTTCACTTTACAAGTGCTTAGGCTTTACTGTTAGGGACCAAATAGAAATGGTATTTAGCTTCCTTTGAGTGTGGTGTTCTGTGTGATATGTGCACAAAGACAGCCCCTGTTTGGAATAATGGAGGGATAAGGTGAGAAAACATGACTAATTCAGGGCATGGAGGCTTAAGCTGTAAGACTGTATGGTTCATGTGTCTTCTGAAGCAATACTCTAAAGCCTTGTTTAGAAAGGAGGCACACTATAGTGAAATACAGTTTTGGTGCAAGTTCATGCCTCCCGTGTGCAGGGCACAGTGCTGCAGGCAGCTACACCATGTAGGCTCAGACTAGCTAATCCACTTGCAGATAAGGAAAAGATGACTGTGTTTCAAGTGTCTAGAAGTCCTGACAAAACAATTGATGTACAATCAAAAGAACTCAGTTAAATACAAGGCCAAAGAACGTAATCTTAGCTAAAAGCCAATAGTAGAACATACGGAAACCTTATTTTTAGAATCCTTTAGTTCAATACTGATAAATAATTGTAATAAGATTGAAAAGAATAGTGAACAACCTGGAATGGTGAGATATAAATACAAATGGAAGATGAAAGTAGAAAATTAGATTACAAGTAGTTTGCAGCTGTCAGGCATTCTTGCAAATGAGGTTAAAATAGAACCTAGTTTAGAGATCAGAGAGGAGGTAAAAACATGGCAGAAATCTCAATCCTGTTTATTTCGAGTAGTTACTAAACCTCAGTGTGTACATGTGCATTCATTTTGTCTTGCTCATTCACATGTTATAGCAGTAACTTTATTTTGAAGCCTGACCTTGTAGTCAAATCTTCATTCTATACCAATTAACTAGGTTGAAAGAAGTGCAATTGTAATCTCCTTACTTGATAACTGTGTCTCAGGTGCAAGTATAAGGGGTAGGTAGAGGTGAATAGTTTCAGTAATAGCTCATCAATAATGTGAAGCAAATTTTATGTTGTTCTGGTTGCCATACAAGATCCGGGATTAGTGTGACTGAGATAATAAACAGTTTATTTGTATAGCATTTCCATTGGCTTCCCTCAAGTAATGCTGAGGTGGTAAAATTAGATAATCTTGGGAGTACTGCTGTTGTAGTACTGCAGTATTCAGGACTGCCTTGTATACATTGAAGTGAAACACAAAAATGTTGTTAGATGTAGTAGCAAGAAGTGATTTACTTGACTGTATGTTTTTTGGCATTTTCTCTTCCCTTAGACTGGTAGTAGTAACTAAGTTACATCAAAATAGGAAGACTCAGGAAAAGGTATTAAATAAAGAGCAAGGACTTCTTTTAGAGTTACATACATAAACTGCTGCTTCTTACTATCTGGAAGGGAATTTGAAATTGTCTATGTGAAAAAAAGTTTGTGTCACAGAAAGTTTGTTTATAGAGAACAGTACCATTAATTTCTTATATTATCAGTCTCACAATAATTACAGGTTTGTTTGCCTTAGAATAATCAGGTATTATAAATAATGACTCTGTTTACTCTACTTTGTCAAAACTAAAGTTTTAAGAGAAGCCTTGTAAGTTTACTTCACAACCATTATTGCATCTAGGTGTAGCTAGTAGTGTCAAAACTAAAATACTGGAGGATGTTTGAATTTTTTGTTTACAGAACTAAGAGAAAAATGTGACTCTTGGTTAGTATTTATACATGCTGGGCCCTCCCAACTTTGAAATAAAAAGTTGAAATGTTGTTAGAATTCCATTCAGTGATCTGTAAAATTTCTGTTTAAATTTAGATTCACAATTGGAGAGCAATAGTATCGTATCTCTAGGGCTTGCCTACTTGCAGAATAACTCCCAGTTGTGAAGTCAGTGCACCTGCAGAGTTGTTACTCAAAAGTAGCTCTTATCACTATGTTCTGTGTTGACCCAAATGAGTTTACTGTGTCCTTTTATTGAAGTGATAAACCTTTTTCACTCTCTTTCGAGTAGTGTGAATCTTTACATAAGTTGCTTTTCTTTAACAGTCTCCGTTTAGAATAGAGGACCTGCAAACTAAACTAATACACAGTATTGCTAGAACAGAAATGATAATTTGCAGGTTACAGCAACTCTCTAGGGTTTACCTGCAACTGAAAGTGCGCCTGAAATAAGGGAGATTATAAATTTAAAGCATCATACTTATTCCTGACTTAATTTTTTATATTGATTTTATATGATTCTTTGGGTTAGATCTGGTAATTTACTTGAGTGCTTACAATCTAGGAGCCTTAACGACAAAAGTTCAGGTTATCAAATTGTAGTGCCTAATCTAAAGTGCTATGTTTGGTGTCTTGTAGCTTATTTGGTATGTAAGGAGACAGTTTTTGAAACTCCTATCTATGCTTGATTCAAAGCTTCAGTGAAATGCATCTAGAGCACTGGTCTAGTTTCCTGAATTTATGTAGTGGCACCTGCACCTGGTTTCCAAATAACAGTACGTAACTGGAGGAGAGATGATTCCCAGCTTTTATAGCAATAAAACTCTATTGATCCGACAAGTTTTTGAAAACATTTGGGTGTTGACTCCTGCCAAATAAATTAAGTTTATTATGTGTGATAGAGTTTGGCTGTTACCAAAGAAACTGCTTGTGGGTGGTATGTTGAAGTAATTTTCTGTGTGGAGGGGATTATACAAACCACTGAGTGAAGTCCCATGTATAAGTAGTCACTCATGATCCATAACTCTCCGCAGAGATGCTTACCCTTCAGTTCCAGTACCTCTCCACATGCAGTTTCTATTGATCACCTTACAGGAATGGAGGTGAGTGGACTGGGGTGGGCCCTAATTTTTGGGGTGGAGAATAAAGAGAAAGTACGAATGTGGAGTCCTGGTTTGGGAAGCCTGGAGCATGAGGGGACATGATAGAAAAAGAGGTGGACTTCCTCTTAATTTCTGTCTGCTGTAAGTGTGCTTGTACTGAGCTACTGCCTATGGTTCCTGCTACCCAGTAAATCATATTTTAGAAATCTGAGGTTCACCAGAAGTCTGGACTTTTCCCCCCTTCTTTAAGTCCATTGACAAGTAAACTACAAAGGCAGCCTACCTTTTGCTTCTTTTTTCTGCCTTCTTTCTGGCCACACAGGCTGTCGTACTCAGCTGCACAGTGGCCAGTTCCAGCAGGAGGCTGTGGAATCTGAGCCTTCGGTGTGCTGGGTAAGTGTACTGCCAGGCTCACGTGGGATGTGTTGTCATTTCCGAACCTCGGAGCTCTCTCCTATGAACAGTAATCAGTGAACTACTTGGGTTTTATAAATAACCCTAAGTCCTGTCAATGTATTAGATGCATTCTGTGTGTATGTCAGGTTGACTTTGGAGAACTGCGGCAGAGGGATGACAGTTTTTTGGCTCTTAACTCAGTGAGTGCAAGAGATGGTTTCCTTGGACTAGGAGGTCTTCAGACTAGGAAGACTAGGCATCTTCAAACACCTGAAGAATTGTCCATTCAAACAACAAAGCAAGCTGTAATCTAAACCCAGCTGACCAAGTCTTAGATTGCAATTTCAGAATTAAGTATCTTGGTTCCATCTAGCTCTTGTGGTATAAGTGTGTCTCGCTCCAAATGGATTAAGTGTATTAGGCTAAATTGGAACAAGGTAGTCTTAATTCTGGAACCAGAGCATTCAAAAGATTATTAGCAAAAGGTTCAAATGTCTACAGTTAATTGATCATGTAGATGAGTCCTGTGCAGAAGAACAATATCTATTACTTCTTAGATGGTATTGCTTGTTAGGAGAAATTTGAATTAGAAGATGTAGCTTGTGGCAGTTGCTGAAATTATCCTTCACTTTTGGGCTCTTGGGTTTTTATGTAAGACGTAGATAAGTTAATTTTTTTTCATAAGACTTTTTTTCCCCTCCTTTTCAGTAGTGAGTGAAGAAGTATCAATAGATGGCTTTAATACTGATTTGTTTGTGTAGTTGTTTGTTGGCTTTTTTAATGGATGGACAAGTTTTCCTAAAATCAGAGGGCTCGTTTAGCTTTGTTTTTAATGTATGTGTGTGTTTTTAAATATAGATATAAGTATCTTTTTTTTCCACTACTAGGGGAAGGACAGATAAGCCTTTGGTTTAGTTTGTGCACTAATTGCTTTGATGGTGTCTGTTGTGTTATGGGGGGCAGGGAAGAAGGAGAGAAGTCAGGCACTGTGTTGCTTGGGTGACTGTTCTGAGCCTTTTTTACACTGGGAATGGCTTTTTTTATTCTTTGCCCCTTACTGCTTTATAAATCTGTCTTTAATTTTAGTTGCTCCAGAGTAGTCCTTGATTGTTGTCTTCCTCAATTGGTTTTCAGATGAAATTTCATTCAATATCTAGCAGTAAAAAATAGATGTGTGCAGGTGACACAGCTTACTAGCATGTTAGCTGTTAATAGAATGTGACGGAGAGGTTCAGGCTTGTAGAAAAGGGACCTATATATCGTTTGGTCATTCATAGCTTTAGCTAATGGGATTTCTGTGAAAAGTTGTTCAGTGTTGTAGTTTGACTTTACAAAAATATGGTGTTAGAAGAAATGGGGCTAATAAAACACTTTCATTTTGTAGTGGTTTCAAAAGTAGTTCCACACGATTTTGTGAGGTGGAACAACCTGCGGGATTTTTTTTTGTCTACTTGTGCAAGAATAAACTATTGATATGCTGCAGTAACCACTACAGTAAATTAGTAAACTATAGTACAACTTGGATATCTTATTTAGTAGCAGCATTGAAAATAATGGTGTCAAATCTTTGCATTTTGATTGTTACATCATTCAAAGCTGGTAATATTTGCAAGTATGCTTAATTTGAACATTATAAATGGGAAAATGTTACTCTTGGAATAGGGTTCATCTCTACTGGAAAAAATGGGCACCTGTAGACAGAGAGCTCGTTGACAAAAGTCTTATCAGTCTCCCTCTGGAGGTGGGATTGATCGTGAATCCACTGGCTGTGATGGGAGCTTCAGTTTGGCTCACACCTCACTTCAAGGCATATGAAGTCATGTGGGATGACATATCCTCTCTGCTTACCACCACTCGTGTTTATAGAATGTATGTATCCTGAAGGATTTATAATGGTGTTGAGTTTTCTTGTTTATTATCTTTTCAGAGGCAGACACAGCTTCCTGCAGTGGCCAGCCTAAGTCAAGAAGATGGAAGTGTTAGGTAGAGACTATAAAACAAAGTAAGAGCCTGAACAATTGTTAACACTTAAATTTAAACATTTTTCAAAGTATGATATCAAATAGACTGGTCACGAAGCATTTTAAAGTTAAATCTTCGTAGGTTTTATGTTTTTGAGCTTCACATGCATAGGTTCTTATGCTCCAGTGAGAGCTCTTGTAATGAGCTTGAGGTTTTCCACTGATATATGGTATATGGGAACACTTTTAAAAAAATATTTCCGTAGTAGTCCATGATAGATCCGTAACTTCTTTTTAAACCAATTTATATAGTTGATTTAGTTGAATATAGTAAAAAAAATGTAGCAAATTTATTCCCTAAATGTTTTCAGATAATCCTAGTTGTATTCGGAATTAGATCAAATTATTATTTTTAGTATGCTCATTTTGTTGTTATATGGTTATTAACAAGTTGAAACAACTTAGAGACCCATTCTGAGTGGGCGTGTATCTCAGTTCCACATACCAAATCCCTTTCATGTTCTGCAAGCTTCGGGTTTTTTTAAAGCTTCTCTTTCCTGATACATTAAGAACACTTTGAGTTGAAAGTCAGCATGACAGTTAAGACTCCCATGATGCAATTTAAAAAATGTAGTTGGTATTCAGGGATGAATCATATTGTCAGGTGTTTAAAACCAGAAAAAACTACTGGTAATTCTTCATATGCTTATGCAGTTGTTCAGTAACAGAAATCCTGCTGGAGATTTGTGCTGCTTACTGTCCAATAGTAAATGAGATTACTTGCTGCAATTGATGAATCCAGGGTACTTATCTTTAAATGCTGGTCCTTCCTCAGGAATTGTTGCTAGCATAAAGGGAATGGAGATTTTATCCCTGAGGGTATGGGGCAAAAGGGGGGTTGCCTTTTCAGTAGAGACAACACATCTGTGGAAATAGAGGAGCATCTTTATTAACTTGGCTCATGGTAAAATGTTGTGAGACAATTCCAACCATGTGGTTATAATGGTCATACTTTACTGATGCAAGCTGCACTGAAGCAAGCTGACAAGAAAAAAAAACAAACAACAACAACAAAAAAAAACCACTGTCCATGCAGTCAATCACAAGGAATGTGATACCTGATTGCAGTCATGGTATCTTTAAATGCAGGAGCTCAGGCACAGCTGGAAGCAGGGTAGCTGCTGCAGTACTGGGCTCAGCAAGGGTTAATTTGCTCAGCCAAAAGTCAGTTGACCATGTGGACATGTGAATTCCTGTGTACTCAGGAGTCACTGGATTCACTAGAAAAATGTAACCTGTTTTATTCTTGAAACTCAGGGAATTGTAACTGTCATTAAGTGACATGAAACATTAGATATGACTTTGAGAAAGATATTTATTTAAAATCCTGTTCCCTTTAGGGGCTTTTCTCTGAAGCTTAAAGTGTTCTTGCTTTAGATTCAAGTTGTTCAAAAACCTGTGGCCAAAGGGAAAAATACAGATGCCCAATTTCCCCTGAAGCCCACACGCCTGTAAGTGGTTTGTATTCACTGTGTAGTACACAAAGTTCCTGGTCAAATGCTGTCTAATCCTTCAATCAAATTGCAAGTTTTGTGGCTCCCCTTAGTAGTTTAAATGATTTGCAGTGAGTGTTGCTTCTTCAATTTGGAATGTACTTCGGGTTTTTGTTTATTTTTCTTTAATGAAGTATTCCACTGAGGCCTCCCATGGCATTCTGCCACACACGTTCATATTGTTCGTGTGAGTATATGGGTTTTCTCAGGGAATGTCAGAAAAAAACTACATGTACATCAGCAATTCAACTGAAACAAGATTTGATTTTATGTCATGCTGATTTTATTTTAAAAAGTGCTTTAAAATGCCAAGTATATACATACCTGTATTTATATAGGATATATAAACAAGTGTTTCCAATCAATAGATAACCAAGTACCTTACAGAGAATGTCAATATCTTTATTCCCCTTGATAGACAGTGACACTTGGTAGTAATTTGCCCCAAGTCAGGGACAGATCTGGGAATGGGAATCTGGGAATTTGCTTTTTCAGCCTCAACTGAATGCTCTGACTTGGGCTGCTTCTCAGGGTTTCATGTCCTGTTTGGCTTTTGACATAAACCAACTGGATTCTGCATTCTTAACCTGTGTGTTGGGAGAAGGGATAGATATAACTGACTGGATACGTACTTTTTTTGCTATTACTACTTCACATCACATACAGTGAAGATGTTTAAAGGTATTACTCATTTCTCCATGGATAGCCCCTCATGACAAAAGTATCCCAGCTCCAGAGCATCTACTCTCGCTTTCCAGACCTGCTCTCTCCCAGCCCCTACTCACAGGTGTTTGGGAGCTGACTGTAGGACAGAGGAACAGAAAGAACTTTTAATGATAGTTGCTAATTAATTACCTTTCACAAGCCTAACCTTCTTCAGCTTCAGATAGCTTGTCTTTACAGGCCATGCTGTTTGGTCTCATTTTCATTAGGCTTCTTAACTACCTTATGCTAGTCTATGTAACACCACCAGGTATCTGTACCAACTCGCTTGAAGGGTTTTCTAGACATCGAGACTCCTTGGTGTTTAAATACAATGGAGGATCTGAATTCTAGTCCATCTATAACGGCATATAGACCACATAACAGCATTCTGACCACATATGACAATAACAGTCTGTGTGGCAACTATATTCCACCACAGCTCATTTTGGGTTACTAGAATTGAAGTGGCATGGCGAATCAGGAACTGTAGAGGTATGGATGAACAGAGCTTTTCTAGAGGGAAAAGAAGCTGGCTTTATGAGTCCAGATTAAAAACTACATTAATCAAGGACAGATGACACCTGACAGCAGTATTCTTTTATTTTATGTATCACAATAAATATATATATATACACACACACATTCTTTAAAAACATACAAATATACTGAGCATTTTAATAAGTATATAATGTTCTTGATAGAAACCCGTCTAATATTTCAGTACTGTCTGCCATTAGAAAGAACAATTTAAATAGGGTGGTCATTAACAACTTCCATTAGGTTGTGTACCCTCTGCTTTCAATAGCCACCCCGGTCTTGCTACTATATAAACCCTCATTTGTAGCCCAATCCTCCTCTTCCTGCTGCAACAGCTTTTATTGCCCCTGTTTCCTAGCCCCTTGCTTACTGTGTTTTTAGTTATCCCAAGCTTCTGACCAGAAACACACTGCTCTTCTGCCATGTGATGTGTCAGAGATACTTTCAGTCTCTTCATATTGTCCAGATCTGTTCTGGCACACTTGGAAAAATTGTTTGCAAAGATAAACAGATTTCATTCAGTTTGCTAGTGACACAGAAGTAATGGTAGGACAGGGTAAGAATATTACATGGTGGAGAAAAAACAATCACCTGATCCAAGAGGAGTTTCATCCTATGAAAAACCCATCCTGAGAAGACTTTCAGGTTGAAGAGATGGATGGATGGAATGTGACATTCTTGATACACTGTGGAGATGAAAGAACAGAAGTTTATTATGTTTGTCAATTAAAATATCATTGTCCCAGTAAATGCAGACTGTTTATAGTCTTCTGCAAATACAGAAGGTCTATATGGGATGCTGTAATTTAGGATGTTGTAATTTAATTAGTATTAAGGCTATGCACAGAGTGACTCAAGTTTGTTCCAGAAATGATTGCAGTGTGTTTGAGAAAAGACTATAACTTGATATTAAAAAGAGGGAAAAGAAATACAGTGTTGGACCTTGCAGATCAATGGTCTTACTGAGGAAGCCTTCGTAGGTCAGCTATGTAGTTCCTCAAAGCTCTGAACATGACTTATATTGCAAAATAGTAAACACATGCTAAGATAGAGTGGAGTACACTCAAAATCAGGTGACTTGTAAAAAGTTATGTCAAGACATCATATGTCTTCAGCAGTTTTCTTTGTAATTAATTGTTACAAATTAATATATTCCCCAGTAAGGTGCACTAGAAATAAACGTTCCAGATGCCTTCATCTGCAGAGAAGAAGGAAAGGCAATTAAATGTCTGCATACTGTGAAATCTCTGGGTACCAATAGTGTTTGCACAGACTTTCATAACATTTTAAGGAACAATTGGTTTTCCTGCTGTCTGGGCTGACTGAATGCAAGCAGTTTTTGAAAGAGGACAGTAGCTCAGTTATTTTCACACTGGCTAAAATCCTGCTGATTTGCATAAAAGTTTCTATTTTTATTTACTGATAGCAAAGTTTTGGTGACAAACTGGCTCCTCCAGACCAGACAAATTCTATTTTATTTTATTAGCATGCATCATTTCATCTCTGACAAAGAAAGGGCAGACTTCTGATGATGTAGTGAAAGAACCTGGGGCAGAGGAGTGTCTGGCCTCTATCAAAGAGTAGGAAAAACACAAAAGGTCAAAACTGCTGGCCTTGGTCTGAATTGAGCAGGGTTGCTTGCTTGCAAAAGTATCAAGTGAGAGGGCTTTTTTTTCCTTTTTTTTTTTTTTCCTTTTTTTTTTATTCACTCCCTCCTACATCATTACTGGGCTGAGTAGAAAAATAATTTTATTTCTCTTTAAAGGTATGAATAATAATAAATGTGTTAATTTGCTCCAAGAAAAGCCAGTTCCACATAGGAGCTCAAGCTGCCCCATGGGAGCTCTATTTTTTTCCTTCAGAGAAAAATTGTCGTCATGCAAACTCTAAAATCCAGCAGCCATTGAAGGTGAAGGAGAAACAACAAAATGCTGTGTTTGCTTGTCACTGCGGACCAATTATTCTTCCAGTAGCTGCGCTCCTATGTGTAGTTTCTTAGTTGCACATACTGCCTGTCCCAAAACATGGAGTTTTGTTCTCAGACCTGTTTAGTTTAAAATACATTCTTTTATTTTAGATGACCTTAATAAAGCAGTGCATACTGGTGCATATATAGGTATGAAATTTGTCTATAACTGTTAGTTAGAAGTCCTTTTCATTGGCTAAGTATACCATGTATTATTACACTGATATAGCTAGAATGAAGCTTGGTTCTCAGACATTAAGATGACCCTTTTAATTTTGATTCTGCCAATAGGTATTTTATAGTTTCAGGAGTTGGTGAAGTCAGCAGCCACCAAACACAGTAAAGTGTAACTTGACTTCTGTGGACTAAAGTTAAAATTTCCTGTATTGCCTTGCATGAAGATTTTTGTTTTAAGTAACTTCTGCATTTGGTTGGTTGATGGGAAACCACAGCCAAATGTTTTAAAGAGGTATCAAAACCAATTTGTTTTGGTTAACAGTACATTTCCTGGATAATCTCATCCAGGAGAGATTTTAAGTGCAGTACATGTTCAGAGCCAGGACCCTCAGAGCACAGCCCAGCCTCCATTTCCAAGCCTGTCATTCCCATCGCACATGAACGAGCCAGACTGTTTTGCAAGGTCCATGGGACAAGGGACCATCTTCTAGGTGCTGGTAGAGAACAGATGATTAAATAAATTAAGGCAGTGCATGCCATACAAAAACATCCCAGGCAGGCTCACACCAAGGCATTCAGAAGGACTTAGGAGTCTCTTCTATGTTTCTACTCTGCATGAAGTGTAAATATATGTGTGTATGCGTATACTGCTCAAGCTACTTGATGCTACATCAGCTATATTGAGATTCTGTTACGTTGGAAAGTTATGACTTAATGAGATTATTTTAACAAGAAATTAACATGAGCAAAGCCCCTAAAACCAACCAAAGTAGTTGTGCGTGTTGCTGGATTTCAAAGTGTTGACTTTCCACATCTGTAACTTCTGATTCTAGTGCCGAGTCCTGTATGGTAGCAAAGAAGGTAACACATTTTAAAGTTCTGGAATGAGTTTTGAGGTAATACTAAGAATTTAGTAAGTGTCCATGAGGATGTTATACCACAAGGCTTACTGAAAGTTAGTGTGTCTTGTGCTCTGCTTGCTAATGCTCTGGACTTTTAGGATTCAGGATTCTTGGTACGTTTCTCAAAGGCCTGGCTCCTGAAATCAAGGCGTTTTCTTTGTTCTTCCCTCTCCCTGATGAGTTTAAAGTTCTATTTCTGTTCCTTGTAAAAAATGTTGAAAACACAAAAGCATGAAAGGCCCAGAAATGCAAATACAAATAATTCTAGATCTTTTTTATGACAGTCTCACACTTTGTGCTTGGCCTGATATAAATCTTTGTGAATGCTAGAAGCTGGTCATGGTCAAAGTCTTACTGAAAAATTCCCCCCATGTTATACTTCAATCAAATAAAATGCAATTGTGATAGCTTTAAGAAAGGTGCTCTTGTAATCCATGGCTGTAGGTGCTGTAGCATACAACTTGCTTTCTTTGCATGTATTTTCAAATGCCTCTCTTACTGTCTTTACCAACTTCACACAGCTTTTTGCAGTCACTGTGTGTTACTCAGACATGTCAGGGAGGTTCCTTCCAGTCCAGCACCAATGTGATCTGCAGGTATCCTGGACCAAAGTGTAATTTAGAGACTGAGCCCTGGAGCTCCGGGACCAGCGGAAGCTGCAAGCCCCCTGGGCTGGGATGGCAGGAGAAGGGAAGGCTGCCAGCTCCTGGGAGAGGGTGTATCCAGCAGCAGTACGTAGCCTCTCTTCTGCCAGAAGAAATATCAGCCTGGCATGATGCTTCCCAAAAGCAGGAACATTAGAAGAATAAGTAATTTCAGGGCTGGAAGAGGGTCTAGGGGATGTCCTAACATCACAATATATTTAACTCATGGAAATTAATATAGGAAAAGTAAATGGGAAGATGACTGAAGAGGAGGGTTTTCTAACATTTAGGGAGCTTCGTTTGGAGTTGGAAAGGCCAAAAATGTGATCACATCTAGCTGGAGACTGAAGAAGGGATTTAGAAATGGAATAATTTATCAAACTGGAGCTAAAGATAGAAGTAAGTATGCCGTATAAAGGGCAGGATGAAGACATTTTAGTAAGACTGACAAAAGAGAGAGGACAAGCTGCTGAGAACATGCAGAAGAATTTTCCTGACAGGAGAGCATCACAAAACCTGCCAGAATTGTCTAATTTTTCAAATGTTTTATTAAAACCCACATAAATTTAGTATCTATCTAACATGAAAAATAATTTATCACAATAGAAATAATTAAATCCTCAGCAAAATGAAGATGAATTTTGATGCCATTCCACAATTATTCTTGACAAACACTTTTAATTTGACCTAAACACTAGTAAGGAGGCTTTGTGGGTATCATAATATACGATCTAGACCTGAATTATTTGTTTTAGTCATCACAGAGGATACAATAAGAGGGAACATGACAAAAATATAGAAAACAATGAGTAGGGCTGCACATAACTTTAGCTCTTATATTTTTATAATAAATTTCTTGGTAGTTTGTGGTTTGTTTAAAGTTTCAGCTCCTGGATTTGTGTAGTAAATAAGATTTCATTACAGAAAATGAAGTTTCTAATTTTCACGATTGCAAAAAGACTTGCAGATTCTTATCTTCTAATACAGAGCAAGAAAAGGAACCAAAATACATCTTCTAAGAGACAAATTTGTCGAGCTTTAACTCAAACTAAAATCTACCTTCTTACTATAAACAAATCCGACAACATAAAGCTGAGACTTGATCCTGCTATTAGAACTCAGGTTGGTTTTTATGGTGCATTAGTTATTCAGACAGACATTGCAAAGCCTTGTATCCCATCCTTTTCTTTCCTTAGCAACATTCTCTTAGAGCCTTGAAAACATCATGCCTCTGCCCTCTGTTTTACTTGCTTTTTTCCTTCAGCAGATGCTGACGAGCCCAGCATCTGATTTCAGTTCTGATCTGGAATAACTCCAGGGGCGTGCATGAAGCCATCCCACTTTTTAGTTCCAAGCGGGGTGGTGGCGGGGAGGAGAGTCAAGACTATTGTTCTCCCTCCCTGTGTCCCTCCTGCAGCAGCAGCCAGCATTGTTCATTTTTATTTACTTCTCTCTCCGTGTAAACCAGCAGGGCTTGCAGCAGAGGGACAAAGTTATCCTCATTAGAACGATTAGGCTGATTTATGAGAGAACAACACAGGGAAGGAGAGCTCTCCTTCAGTGTTCACCACTTGAGGCTGGGCGCCCACCCAGCTGCTGGCAGGGCAGCGCTGGGCCTTCCCCCTGCCGCACACTCACCCCAGCTACCCAGGCAGGCTGGAGGGCCCCCAACTCTTCAACCTTTGCATCTCACTGAAAATGTACAGATACATGCAATAAACGATGTTTTCTTTCACACAGTACTCTTCACAAGTTGTATGTTCCACGTTAATATTGAAAGTCAAAATAATGAAAGGGGGAAATCCCATGTTGGACCCTTTCTTAGCTTTGGCTAAGTGGAAATTTTGGCTTATAAAACACTCCTTGAGCAGGTTTGCTGTGTCACCGGAACAGTGAGAGCTGGTACATCTTTATTCCTCTCCTCACTGTGGAAGTTTTGCATTAGTTTTGGGAAAGGCTTATGTATGAGGGGGTTAGGAAATTTCCTTCTTCCAGGGAAAATGTTATGAGTATCCTTTGCTCATCACAGTTCCTTGGTATCTTCATGGCAAAATATAGTGTGAGCCTGGAAAGTTCTACCACACTCTGGAAGACACATTTGAAATGCATGTAGACATATTTATAAACACTTTTAAGCTTTTAAAAATGTATTAGACAAGCAAACAAACAAAAACTATTACTGGCAATTCTGCCTGTTACGTTTCTGCCAGGCATCAAAATCAAACACCAAACTTGCAAAAGTTGCCAGCTGTCTGCACTTCCAGTGTAATGTTTGTGGTCACCTTTACAAAAGAAACCATACCCACCACTTGTCTTTGCTAACAGGATGGCATTTTTAGTGCTGGAAAGGCAATTAAATAATTTTGTAAATTGCCCCCCAAGTCTATAAAAATATTTTTTGTTTGGGAGCAGATTGATGGTGCCAGAGTTTGAAGAGCAGTTACTCATATTCAGTAGTCCTCCACATAGCAAACTCCATGAAAGGCTCAACAAACCCAAGGAGCATACAGTATAACCAAGACAGAGAAGTGAAAGCAATAAAAGAATGAAGTATATATCACAAACTGACATGTAAAGTCTTATTTTAATTGCCTGTAACAAAATGTCTCATAGCACCCATAGGAAAAAGCAAATCAGCATCCAATATTTTCTGCCACCTTCACAATGTCTCAAATGCTCTCAACATATTCTCAGCAGGAATTTGCCTCTGTGTTTTGCACACACAGAACAGCAGTGCAAGACCCAGTTTCACCCATCTCATTCCCTCATGCAAAGCCTCAGCGTATTTTTGCCTTAGCAGATTGGCAGTTCTGACTAGCACAGAGCTGATCTACCCTCCTTTTACAAAGTTGCATTCCAGAAACAGCAAAAACTCTCCCCTTCATTTTGTAAGGCAGGAGAGAGGTGGAGAGGGCCACCCCTGAAACCCAGCCACTGGGCTTTGCAGCCAGAAGAACTTTCGCACTTATTGATACCTAATTAGTCTGTGTTCACAGGGAAATATCCAAAAACCTATCCAAACCTTTATTGTTTAGGACTTTATCCACAACTTTATTGTTCAGAAGTCAGTGTTTCAATACATAAATACACAACCTGCTTTTTTCTGCCTCCAGACACAGTGATTTCACTGATGGGCCTGGGGCATTCCCACAGGAAGAGCTCAGTATTCGTGCTGCTGTGTGTAGGGACAATCCGTGGGGAAGAGACACAGCTATAAAATGGAGAAATGGTTAAAACACTATGCAGTGTGCCTCTCCTAAACAATCATACTGTACTTGCTTTCCCTCTTCTCAAAATTGCTGCCTTGGGGAGGTAAAGAATTACCATTGCCATAAACCATAATCAAGATCAGATGTGCAAAGGGAAAGGCCTTACTCAGATATCAAAGGGGTCTTAAACTGCCAAAACAGACCAAGAGAGAGAAATCCCGAGGGAATCAGAGATGTAATTTATGACTGACCTTCATTTTAACTGGGAAATGCATGTTCTTGAATGGCGATGCTCCTGTGAATGCATGTTTTGTTTTGTTTCAGCTCATTGGGAATCTTTGCTGCAGCGGTATTGATCTAAGCTCCCAAACAATGAGCCAGGGATGAGGAATCACATATGCATTCCAGAAACATTTTTCTGCACTGAACTTGTCGCAGCAGTGACAGTGCCTGGCTTTGTCATCCCCTCTGCCACGGCACTGCCTTCTGGGGCTCACTTCTTTGTGTTTGCATCATCACTTGCCTAAACGACTCCACATTTTCTGCATTCTCATAACTCAGTTGTCTAGATTTGGGAGAAAAACGAGGTAACAGCTCTTCAAGGGGATTTGTGCTGCCACAGGAGCAGTTGATGTTTGGATGAGCTCTCAGTCTTTTAAAGGCCAAGCATTACAAGAAAAAAAAAAAAAAAACCATACTAAATCTTTGCAGTCAAATATAAAACCACAGCATCATGGTGCCTCAGCCTCCCATGTGCTGCCTCCCTTTTTTACGTTTCACAGGATAACATTTGACTGGGGATCCTCTACGCTTCAAAAAAGTTTACATTAAAATCTAGTTCCAAACTTATCTTTGTAATGGATCCAGACTGCACACTGAACTCTGGGGCAATTCAGATCCACATTTCCATCTGTATTTCATAGCTCAATTCCAGACGTAGTTTAAAACAAAGATGTTTTAACAAATGCTTACCTGCTGTCAGCTGAAGTCAAGTACTGTGTTCCCCCGGCTTCCCATCAGGTATGTTACATTAAAGCAAACACTCATTTTCTTAATCTCAGAATTATGTGCTGAATTCTTTTTACATTCCACTTAAACATTTTCATGAAAAAGCTTGTTTTCTAAATTCTACCTTACATTTAAAATGAACTGCAAAGAATGGCAGCACTTAGCAGGTACAACAGAAAGAACACATTGTCGGCAAAGCCTGTGGAGTTTTGTCCATTCTGAAGAAACTTCTCACCAAGACCGTAACTATTTGCAAAATGCACTTCTTGTCTGATAATCAGTAAAAGATAATCTGTCGTAGAAGTCACAACTCCTTCACAGTTTCCCCTCTCAACTTCCTTGAACAGCTGTCAATATGTGTATAAAACTAACATTTAAAGAACCCAGATAGGTTTAATGTCTGATACAAAACGAACTGATCTTTTAAACCAAGCTCTTTCAGGTAGAAAACCCTTTGGAGTTAGTTGGATGGGAGTATTCAGGTTATTTTTCACCATTGCAACACGTTGTTTTGCAACACAAAATATGTCCATTTACAGTAAATAGAGAGATGTCTG